TTTTGAGGTCCTATCATTTTTAATGCACAATTTTAAAATTTTCAATTTTAGTGTCTAATTTTATTATTTTTATCAATTTTGGTCCTTCCGACCAAATTGACAGTAAAATGTAGCCAGATTTTATATTATAAGGGCAAAATCGTCATCTCAAAAAAGTCTTCAATATCTAAACAAAAGAAAAATCATAGTAAGTGAAAAAGAAGAGTTTATCAATCGTCAATGCTATAAATAAATTTTTTTTTTTTAAAAAAAAAAAAGATGTTTCCTCAGAATGACCTAAAAATATAAAATTCGTCAATATTTCACTCTCGGTTTACCAAAAGGACCAAAACAAATAAAAATAACAAAGTTATGCACCAAAATTGAAAAATTTCAAAATTGTGCCTCAAAAGTGATAGAATCTCAAAAGTCATGGGACCAAAAGTGAAATTAATTCTAATAAAAATTAGATCAAAATTTTTAAAAGTACAAAGACCATGACCACTACTCAGCCTTGTTAACTCAAAATTAGGCAATGGAAAAAAGGAGAGTAGATGAAGTTGGGACTGAAAGAAAGGTTATAATCAAATCAAACTTGGAAGTTGCATGAATGTAACATTAATCTATTATTTACAATACAAGAACACACATAATGCAAGGCCTTGAGGTTAATACGTACTGTTGTTATTCCGTTCATTCTGTAATTAGCTAGTATTTAGTAAGCGGGCGGGGAGCTGAGTGGAAATTATGGATTTTGTTTTGACAGGAGAAGTATGGAAAAGAGGATCCTGCTTGCGTAGCTAAGATTAAAGTGATTTACAATGATCTCAAATTTGAGGTTCAGTTCGCTTATTTGACCTGGATTTTTTTTTTTTTTCCGAGTATTTGGTTATTTGTATGGTGGTTGAATGTGTGTGTGTGTGTGTGTGTGTGTTTCGGGATGTGTTTTCAGAATACGAGAGCAACAACTATGAAAATATAGTAAGGTCGATTGAAGCCATCCAAGTGCAGCAGTACAAGTAGTGTTGAAATCGTTTTTGGTCAATATATACAAGAGGCAAAAGTAGTTTGGATGAATGGCACATTGTGTTTTTGGGACATGTAAGGAGAGAGAAAAGGGAAAGCAAAGGATGGGATGGCGTACGTGTCTTGCACCGACCACGCACGCTAGCGCGTCCGATTCTTTGTTTGTTTGTTTATTTTGTTTTTTTTTTTTTTGTTTTGTTGCGTCAGACATGTTTTTTTTTCCCTCTCATTTGCTTTCTTCTATTTCCCTCATCTCTCTCCTAATTGGCACACCAAAAACTAATTGTTATATCGTGGACCAGGGTCTACAATGCACTGTGGACCATGGTCCACGATATAAATTGCCGTACTATAAAAAAAAAATATCATTGCTATTGGTGATGCTCTTATCAAATTTATATTTGAACTTTAAATTTTTTGATAATTTCATCCAAAATTTGAAACTTTCAACAAAAATTATTTTTGACTCAACAAATATCCACCTTCATTAAGTTTTTCTTTTCAAGAACAAAAGTAAATCTCCCAAAAAGTTTTAAATATATGTGATATTTAAATTTGGTTTAATCTGCCAATAACCTTGTAGTCCAGTGGCACCAAGTTGCTCTAAGAGATTATGAGTTCAAGCCACGTGCAGCAATTCAAGCAGTGTTGAAATCATTCTTGGCCAAAATATACAAGAGGCAGAAGTAGTTTGTATGACACATTGTGTGTGTTTGTGTTTTCTTGTGGCATAATATATATTTTCATGAATGATGGATCATCTGCATTTGTTGCTGGCTTACCATGAATGATGGATCATCTGCATTTGTTGCTAGGCTTACCATAACTCAGTTCAGTTCCCCATTTTACTTTAATATCATGCGCGTGTTTGTTGTATTATTCAGTATTCACCCTGTTACCAACATTCTAAGTTGAAATAAAACTGCATTTTCTTTTCTAAGTTACCCCCCACATTTTGTCTCTCCATTTGGGAAATAAGCAGCCAGCAACCACAATATGTTTTCAACACCAAGCCCGCACGTACTTAATTCACTGGTTTATTAGACAGTACATGGGAGAAGAGATCAAGGTTCGAACCTCAACAACGCCAGTGTAGGAATTATGCTAAAAGTGGACAGATTCCTTGTGAATCACTGTGGTTTATATCATCCCAAATGTTCTGTCGAACTGGGGTGTAGGGGTTCTTAAGGTTGGGAATTCAACCTTTTGGAAGACGAAGTTTTCAACACCAAACCCACTATTCATCAAAATTATGATACTCATCATCGTGCTAATTGCTAATAATCCGCTTAAATTCGCACATATTTTCATCCATTTCAATAACATAATAGTTATGTATTTACAAAATTATTACTAATTATTTATTTATAGTGGTACACAATGCCTCTTTTGATATGTTTCATTGTTTAAAGAGTACATTTATTACTCAAATTCTTTCCATTTGAATGATGGTTCAAATTTTTATCACTCATGACATGAGTACATGACATGACATGATGATGTCATTAATTAAACCAAAATTCAACCATGGACTTGAGTAGTTGAGGATCATAGAGCACACATATCTCTATTATTTTAAAGGTTACATAAAATGTTACATAAAAAAGAATAGGAAAAAAGTGTCAAATTGACCCCTTAAGTCGAATGGATAGTGCAATTGGGTCCCATAAATGAAAAAAACTTCATTCAAGTCACCTAAACCTGTAAAATTGTTCAATTAAGTCCAAATTGACTTGTTTATCAGATTAAATGCATATGGTGTTGACACGTGTCCTTATTTTATTTTTTATTAAAAATATTATTTATTATAAATTAATAATAATAATATTATTATTATTAATAACTAAAAAAATTGAAAAAAAAAAAAAACATCCATGGCTGTCCACACCGGACAGTTGGTGGCTGTCTTCCTTCTTTAAGGACAGTTGTGGCCGTCTGGCCACGGCTGTTTAAGGAAGACGGTCATGGCCGTCTTCTAGATCTAGACGAGGACTACGGCCTTCGCCACCGCCCTCGTTCTAGAAATTGATGACTGGAACGACCGTCTTCCTTAGACGGCTGTGTTCTGGCTGGACGTCCACGGCTGTTTTTTTTTTTTTAATAATTATTATTTTTAATTATTATTATTATTTTAATTAATTTTTAATAAATAATATTTTTAATAAAAAAATAAAATAAAGACACGTGTAAACACCGTATGCATTTAACCTGATAAACAAGTCAACTTGAACTTAATTGAACAATTTTACAGGTTTAGGGAACCTAAATGGAGCTTTTTTTCACTTAGGGGACCCAATTGCACTATCCACTCGACTTAGGAGGCCAATTTGACACTTTTTCCAAAAGAATATTCTCAGCATGTTTTCACACCAAATTTTATTCATCTCCAACCCATTTACACCAAAACACCGAATTTCTACACTAAAATAATTTGATTTCTCAATTATTAGTTCGAATTTAATTAGTTTAATATAATTTAGTTCGAACTTAATTAGTTTAATATAAAATATAACTTGTGATGTAAATAATAATTTTTATTAACATTAATTTTTATACCATAATTATTTCAAAAAATCGAATTTAACAATATTTTTGAAAATTTAGTTTATTCCAAAATAATAATATAGCATAAAATATCTAGTACATTTAATTGTTGGAATTACTATATGTTTGATGTATTTAAAATTTTAATTAATATATATTCAATATTAGTCTTGTTTCGATCGTCTCAATGAGATATTTAAAATGATATAATTTATATTTAATAATACAAACTTTAAATATAAGTATTTAACAAAATAAAAAATTACATATAAACAAATAAAGGATACATTTGAAATTATAAAAGGAAGTAAGGGCAAAATGGTCTATTACTTTCCTATTCTACATTTGCCGTGGATGAACAGTGCCACGCCATATATGGCGCGACACTGTTCATTAACGCCAAAACAATTGGCGTTATGTCGTTTTGCAGGCATACATTGGAGCAGCTAATTTTGCAGGGATGGTGGTTTGGCGTTGGAAAATGCAAATTTGGCGTTACGTTGGAATTGCCCTAATATATCTTATCTTTGGTATCTTAGGGCATTTCCATATGTAGGCAAATTTAGTTAGTTTTTTTTTTTTTTTGTTTTTTTGTTTGTTTTTTTGTTTGTTTGTTTTTTTTTTTTTTTTTTTTTTTTTTTTTTTTTTTTTTTTTGTGGGACTTGTCAAGAGAGAGAAAAGGAAAATGAGAGGATGAGATGGCGTGCGTGACTTGCACAGACCGCGCACGCTAACTTCCGGTTCTTTGTTTGTTGGGAAAATCACACTTTTAATCCCTCAATTAGTGTCCAATCTGCAATGTCATCCTTAGTTCCCAATTTGAACACATTTGGTCTCTCAATTATTCGACCATTAAGCTATTTGGTCCTTCTGTCTATGACTCCGTTTAACACCGTTTCAAGCATGGGTAAAAGTGGAATTTCACATAACATTTGATATATCTTGACCTTGAATTATCAATTATGTATAATCACAGTTCAAACCCAATAAGTTGAAGAAAGATAGTTTTTTTTTTTTTCCGATGCCATAGTATGATAAAAATTAAGATTTATAATTTTATATGATTTATTTCTTTTTTCTCTGCAACCCATCAAGGCAGGGCCATAAAAAGAAATACTTCGTAAAAAAATAATTTATTAAATGTGTGGGGCGGGGTGGGGTTGGGGACTAAAAAAAGAACATTAAGATAAAAGAAACACCATCCCTTACTGAAGCCAAGGAAAAAGGTGCAGAAACTGAAAAAAAGCAAGAAACTAACATGAAACTGTCAAAATAGTAACGAACCTGAATTTATCCACCTTCAACAAGTTTTTCTTTTAAAGAACAAAAATAAATCTCCCAAAAAGTTTTAAATATATCTGATATTTAAATTTAATTTAATTCGCCAATGATTTTGTAGTCTAGTGGTACCAAGTTGCTCTCTCATATGATAGGTTGTGAGTTCGAGCCAAGTGCAATTATTCTTGGCCAAGATATATAAGAGGCAAAAGTAGAGGATGGAATGGCGTGCGTGGCTTGCACAGTCTGCGCACGCTAGCGTCCAGTTGTTTGTTTGTTTTTTTTTTTTTAAAGTGTCTATTTTTTTTTTTTTACTCTTTTCTTCTTCCCTTCCCTCTTTTCTCTCTTAATTAGCACCTGAAAAATCATTAAACTTTCAAAAAAAATTATTTTTGACTCAACAAATATCTACCTTCATCACGTTTCTGTTTTCAAGAATACAAATAAATCTCACAAAAAGTTTTAAATATATGTGATATTTTGATATTTAAATTTGGTTTAATCCATTTACTTCAAATTTGACTGTTAATTTTGTTAACTTATAATGCTGATCCAGATTTTATTTTATTATATTTTTAAATAATTAAATTATCATATCCTTGCATGGCTGATTTAATAAATACTTTATAAATAAAAATTATTTTGCCACAGTTACTACAAATAGTAATTGTTCATAATAAAAAAAAAAAATTAATTTTACTTTTGGTCCCACAACTTTTGAGGTCTTATCATTTTAGTGCACAACTTTAAAATTTTTCAATTTTGATGCCTAATTTTATTATTTTTATCAGTTTTGGTCATTCCGACCAAATTAACAGTAAAATGTGGCCAGATTTTATATTTTAAAAGCAAAATCATTATCCCAAAGAAATATCTTCAATATCTAAATAAAAAATCATATTAAGAGAAAAATTAGGATTTGTCAACCCTTATAAATCCCTCAATGCTATTTATGTGTTTGTGACACTAAGTATTTTTCTTGATAATGGATGATATTTACTTTGTATTGGAGGATTTTCTTCTATGTTTGATAGTGATTAAGATTCCTAGTATATCTGATAATAATTCATTTCTTTCTGGTTGCAGGGAAGCTGAACAGAGGGCTCTCTGTTATTGATAGCTACAAGCTGTTGAAAGAGGGGAAAGAACTAACCGATGATGAAATATTTCTTACATCTGCTCTTGGCTGGTGTATTGAATGGGTATGCAATTCTATAGCTAAATTGTGAACCTTACTGCTTCAATTCATTTCAAATAAGTATTTTAAAAAATTTACCTTTTTGTTTTTGGGTGTCTGATGGTGGAAAAATTTGCAGCTTCAAGCATACTTCCTTGTTTTTGATGACATAATGGATGGCTCTCATACTCGGTGAGGCCAACCATGGTGGTTCAGGCAGCCTAAGGGGTGGTCCCGTCCCGCCTATTTTAAGTGAATGTTTTTGATTTGATACCTTTCATAGATTGGATTGATGGCTGCAAATGATGCGATACTTCTCCGCAATCATATTGCACTAATTCTCAAGAATCACTTTAAAGGGAAGCCTTATTATGTTGATATGTTAGATCTGTTTAATGAGGTGATATTCTGTGTGCTTCTATGTCTTGTTACGAGGCTGGATTTTAATCTAATGTTTTTTATTTGATACCTTTCATAGATTGGATTTATTGCAGCAAATGATGCGATACTTCTCCGCAACCATATTGCACGAATTCTCAAGAATCACTTTAAAGGGAAGCCTTATTATGTTGATCGGTTGGATCTGTTTAATGAGGTGATATTGTGTGTGCTTCTATGTCTAGTTACGAGGCTAGATTTAAGTGAATGTTTTTTATTTGATACCTTTCATAGGGATTGATTGCTGCAAATGATGCGATACTTCTCCGCAACCATATTGCACGAATTCTCAAGAATCACTTTAAAGAGAAGCCTTATTATGTTGATCTGTTGGATCTGTTTAATGATGTGATATTCTGTGTGCTTCTATGTCAAGGCTGGATTTTAATCTAATACTAACTGTTGTGACATTCTTGCGCTAACAGGTGGAATTCCAAACTGCCAGTGGGCAAATGATTGATCTGATTACCGCCCTTGTCGGGGAGAAAGATTTTTCAAAATATTCATTGTCTTTGCTTGCGTAGCTAAGATTAAAGTGCTTTACAATGATCTCAAACTAGAGGTTCAGTCCACTTGTTCGCTTATTTGACCTGAATTTTTTTTCTGAGTATTTTGTTATTTGTATGGTGGTTGAATGTGTGTGTGTGTGTGTGTGTGTGTGTGTGTGTTTCATGATGTGTTTGCAGAATACGAGAGCAACATCTATGAAACAATAGTAAGGTCGATTGAAGGTCGTCCAAGTGCTGCAGTACAAGCAGTGTTGAAATCGTTCTTGGCCAAGATATACAAGAGGCAAAAGTAGTTTGGATGGATGGCACATTGTGTTTGTGTTGTTTTCTTGTGGCATAATATTTTCATTATGGATCTTCTGCATTTTTTGCTAGGATAACTCAGTTGTGTTCCCCATTTTGCTTTGATATGATGGTCCTGTTTATTGTATTATTCTCTCTGATACCAACATTCTAAGTTGAAATAAAACTGCATTTTCTTTTCTTACCCCCCACATTTTGTCTCTCCATTGGGGAGATAAGCAGCCAGCAACACAATAAGTTTTCAACACGAAACCCGCATGGGCTTTTAACTCATTAGTTTAGTAGATAGTATTTGATAGAAGTGACCAAGGTTTGAATCTTGATAACGGTACTTTGAGGAAGCGAGGGAGGAAAGAGAAGAGTTGGGTTCTCCCTCCAAATTTGGGTTTTTTATGAGACGGAGAGAAAAGGGAAATGAGAGGTTGAGATGTCGTGCATGTCGAGAACAGACCGCACACGCTAACACGTGCAGTTTTTGGTTTGTTTGGTTTTTTTTTTTTTTTTTTTTTTCATGCTTTTTTTCCCTCTTATTTTACTTCTTCTCTTTCCCTCGTATCTCTCCTAATTGACATCCCAAAAACTCATTGTTATATCGTGGACGTCCATAGTGCATTGTAGACCCTCGTCCAATACGCACAATTTGACTTCCTAATGTACATAATTCATGTTCATTAATTTATGTTTATAATACACATACACATAAACATGATATAATGAACATGAATTCTGTACATTATGAACATGAGTTCTATGTATTATATTAAGTGTTTATGTGTCTTCATTATATCGTATTTATGTGTATGTGTATTATAAACATAAATTTTGTATATTATGAACATGAATTCTGTACATTGTGAAGTCAAATACTGTGTATTGAACCAGGGTCCATGATATAAATTGTTGTACCACAAAAAAAAAAAAAATCATTGCCATAGGAGATGCTCTTGTCAAATTTATATTTGAGCATTAAATTTTTTTGATAATTTCATTTCATACAAAATTTGAAACTTTCAAAAAAAAAAAAAATTTGACTCAACAAATATCCACCTTCATCAAGTTTTTCTTTTCAAGAACAAAAATAAATCATCAAAAAAGTTTTAAATATATGTGATATTTAAATTTGATTTAATCCGCCAATGACTTTGTAGTCTAGTGGCTCCAAGTTGCTCTCTCATTGTGTCTGTGTTTTCTTGTGGCAAAATATATATTTTCATGAATGATGGATCTTCCACATTTCATACTAGGCTTACCATAACTCAGTTCAGTTCCCCATTTTACTTTGATATGATGCTCCTGTTTGTTGTCATCATGTCATGTCATCCCCATTTTATCTTTGGTATCCTAGGACATTTCCATATGTAGGCAAATTTAATTATTTGTAGGACTCGTCAAGAGAAAAAAAAAATGAGAGGATGGGATGGCGTGCGTGGCTTGCACAAGCTGTGCACGCTAGCGCGTCCAGTTCTTTGTTACTTGTTTTGCAACTTTCTTAGATGATTTGCAGTTCTCTTTGATTAAACGTTCAGCGAATCAGGTACGCCATCTGCTAACTATGCAATATGGTTCTTTGACTTAGCATATTGCTTGGTTTGATGTTCCTCCTTCGTTTCTTGTAAATGCTTTGTTTGTTGATAATGAAATCTAGTTCTGGTTTTGTTTAAAAAAAATACTTTATAAATAAAAAAATATTTTGCTACAGTTACTACAAATAGTAACTATTCATAATAAAAAGAATTAATTTTACTTTTGGTCCTACTACTTTTGAGGTCTTATCATTTTTGGTGCACAATTTTAAATTTTTTCAATTTTGGTGCCTAACTTTGTAATTTTTATCAATTTTGGTCCTTCCGACCAAATTGACGGTGAAATGTGGCCGAATTTTATATTTTAAGGGTAAAATCGTCATATCAAAGAAAGATCTTCAATATCTAAACAAAAGAAAAATCATATTAAGAGAAAAAGAAGGATTTGTCTATCAATGCGATCAAACACCAATAAATATTTAGATATTGAAGATGTTTTCTTGGGATGACGATTTTACTCCTAAAAATATAAAATTCGGCAATATTTCACCGTTAATTTGGCCAAAAGGACCAAAACTAATAAAAGTAACAAAATTATGCACCAAAATTGAAAAAATTTAAAATTGTGCACCAAAAATGATAGAAGCTCAAAAATCGTTGGACCAAAAGTGAAATTAATTCTAATAAAAATGAGATCAAAATTTTTAAAAGTACAAAGACCAACACTACTCAGCCTTGTTAACTCAAAATTAGGCAATGGAAAAAAGGAGAGTAGATGAAGTTGGGACTTGAAAGAAAGGTTATAATCAAATCAAACTTGGAAGTTGCATGAATGTAACATTAATCTGTTATTTACAATACAAGAACACACATAATGCATCAACCAATACCAAAAATGACAACACATTTCTCAAGTTGTTGGTCTAGTCCAGGTTGTTTCCGATGTTGCAGCATTTCCATAATACACCTGTTTCGACGACTCATCCCAGGAAATTATAAATTTTGTTTTGACAGAAGAACTATGGAAAAGAGGATCTTGCTTGCGTAGCTAAGATTAAAGTGCTTTACAATGATCACAAACTTGAGGTTCAGTTCGCTTATTTGACATGGATTTTTTTTTTTCCGAGAGTTTTGTTATTTGTATGGTGGTTGAATGTGTGTGTGTGTGTTTCGGGATGTGTATGCAGAATACGAGAGCAACAGCTATGAAAAGATAGTAAGGTCGATTGAAGCCATCAAAGTAGTGCAGCAGTACAAGTAGTGTTGAAATCGTTTTTGGCCAAGATATACAAGAGGCAAAAGTAGTTTGGATGGATGGCACATTGTGTTTTTGGGACATGTAAGGATGGAGAGAGAAAAGGGAAAGCAAAGGATGGGATGTCGTACGTGCCTTGCACCGACCACGCACGCTAGCGCATCCGATTGTTTGTTTTTTTGTTTGTTTTGTTTTTTTGTTTTGTTGCGTCAGACATGCTTTTTTTCCCCTCTCTTTTTCTTTCTTCTCTTTCCCTCATCTCTCTCCTAATTGGCACACCAAAAACTAATTATTATATTGCACTGTGGACCCTGGTCCACAATATAAATTGTCGTACTATAAAAAAAATATCATTGCTATTGGAGATGCTCTTATCAAATTTATATTTGAACTTTAAATTTTTTGATAATTTCATCCAAAATTTGAAACTTCCAAAAAAAAAATTATTTTTGACTCAACAAATATCCACCTTCATTAAGTTTTTCTTTTCAAGAACAAAAAAAAATCTCCCAAAAAGTTTTAAATATATGTGATATTTAAATTTGGTTTAATCTGCCAATAACCTTGTAGTCCAGTGGCACCAAGTTGCTCTAAGAGATTGTGAGTTCGAGCCACGTGCAGTAGTACAAGCAGTGTTGAAATCATTCTTGGCCAAAATATACAAGAGGCAGAAGTAGTTTGTATGGCACATTGTGTGTGTGTTTGTGTATTCTTGTGGCATAATATATATTTTCATGAATGATGGATCATCTGAGTTTGTTGCTAGGCTTACCATAACTCAGTTCAGTTCCCCATTTTACTTTGATATCATGCGCCTGTTTGTTGTATTATTCAGTATTCACCATGTTACCAACATTCTAAGTTCAAATAAAACTGCATTTTCTTTTCTAAGTTACCCCCCACATTTTGTCTCTCCATTTGGGAAATAAGCAGCCAGCAACCACAATATGTTTTCAACACCAAGCCCACACGTGCTTAACTCACTGGTTTATTAGACAGTATATGAGAGAAGAGATCAAGGTTCGAACCTCAACAACGGCAGTGTAGGGGTTATGCTAAAAGTAGGCAGATTCCTTGGGAATCACCGTGGTTTATATCATCCCAAATATTCTGTCAGACTAGGGTGTAGGGGTTCTTAGGATTGGGAATTCAACCTTTTGGAAAAAGATGTTTTCAACACCAAACCACTGTTCATCAAAATTATGATACTCATCATCGTGCTAATTGCTAATAATCCGCTTAAATTCGCACATATTTTCATCCATTTCAATAACATAATAGTTATGTATTTACAAAATTATTACTAATTATTTATTTATAGTGGTACACAATGCCACAATGCCTCTTTTGATATGTTTCATTGTTTAAAGAGTACATTTATTACTCAAATTCTTTCCATTTGAATGATGGTTCAAATTTTTATCACTCATGACATGAGTACATGACATGACATGATGATGTCATTAATTAAACCAAAATTCAACCATGGACTTGAGTAGTTGAGGATCATAGAGCACACATATCTCTATTATTTTAAAGGTGTAAGAGTATCTTCATCCCAATTCACACCAAAACACCAAATTTCTCCATCAAATATTACATAATAAAAAATAGGAAAAAGTATCAAATTGACCCCCTAAATTGAATGGATAGTGTAATTGGGTCCCCTAAGTGAAAAAAAAAACTTCATTCAAGTCCCCTAAACCTGTAAAATTGTTCAATTAAGTCCAAACATGTGGAGATTGATTATCATTTTGTTCGAGATCGAGTAGCTTCGGGCGATATCCAAGTCAACTTCATCTCCACAAAAGATCAACTTGCTGATATCTTCACCAAAGCTCTGCCTGGACCTAGATTTTCATCCTTAAGGGACAAGCTACAGGTTACTAGTATACACTGTGCTTGAGGGGGAGTATTAGGACTCTATGTATATGAGTCTGTTTAGAACTTCTTATCCCTGTCACACTGTGACTCTCTACTTCTTATCATTCTCACACTGTGACTCTCTATTCTATATATTCACATCATCTGATCTCATTGTAATTAAGTTCAGTAAATACAATACAATCAGTTCTCATCAGTAGAGGCGTTATTGGTTCTTTGTGTTTCAGTAGGTTGAGAAAGTATATGAACAAATACTACAATGTAATAGAGCCAGTCGCATTCAAAAAAAATTTGGTTTAATCCATTTCCTTCAAATTTGACTGTTAATTTTGTTAACTTATAATTGCTGATCCAGATTTTATTTTATTATATTTTTAAATAATTAAATTATCATATCCTTGCATGGCTGATTTAATAAATACTTTATAAATAAAAATTATTTTGCCACAGTTACTACAAATAGTAATGGGAATAAGGATCAAATAGGCCATCGAACCGCACACAATAATGCAATTAGGCCACTGAACTTAAAAAACCAACAATTAGATCCCTAAACTAACTAATTTCATATAATTAGTCAAATTTACAAGTTTTACATGTTAGTTAACAGGTCACCCCAAATTTAATATTTTTTAAAATTTTATTATTTAAAAATAATTATTTAAAAATAATTATTTAAAATTAAATTACATTAAATATTAAAAAAAAAAAAAAAAAAAAAAAAACACCGTCTCCGGCCACGAAGAAATTGCCGGAACTTTGCTCGAGAAAATGGAAGCCTTCATTCTTTCGGATTGCCTCGGCCATTACAGAAACACCATGAACCTTAGAAAACCCCCCATTGCCCAGGAGCTGCTCTACGTCCTTTTCCTGAATTTAAACAAACAAAAAAAAAAAAAAAAAAAAAAAAAAAAAAAAAAAAAAAAGTTCTGGAAATTTTAGATCCAGAATATCAACTAGAAATGCATTCTTTCTAGTGCAGCTTAGTTTCCTCAGAGCTCTTCCTGGACATTGTATAATTGCTCTTAGAGACAGATAGAGACGTAGAGAGAGCAAAAACAGGAGAGAGAACGAAGAAGACGACTTCTAGTGTCACAGATAAATGAAGAGATTGTTGTATAAAAATCTCTTAAACTGGTCGGAGACGAAGACGTCTCCGGTGTAGATGTGTTATTATTATTATTATTATTATTTTATTTTTAAATTTTAAATAATAATTTTTTAATTTTTTTTTTTTAATTTGAGGTGACCTGTTACTAACCTGCGAAACCTGTAAATTGGACTAATCGCATGAAATTAGTTAGTTTAGGGACTCAATTGTTATTTTTTTAGATTCAGTGGCCTAATTGTATTATTGTGTGCAGTTCGATGGCCTATTTGACCTTTATTCCAATAGTAATTGTTCATAAAAAATAAAAAAAAAAACAAATTAATTTTACTTTTGGTCACACAACTTTTGAGGTCTTATCATTTTAGTGCACAACTTTAGAATTTTTCAATTTTAGTGCATAATTTTGTTATTTTTATCAATTTTGATCCTTTCGACCAAATTAACAGTAAAATGTGGCTAAATTTTATATTTTAAAAGCAAAATCATCCTCCCAAAGAAATATCTTAAATATCTAAATAAAAAATCATATTAAGAGAAAAATTAGGATTTGTCAATCCTCAATGCTATAAATCCCTCAATGCTATTTATGTGTTTGTGACATTATTAAGTATTTTTCTTGATAATGGATGATATTTACTTTGTATTGGAAGATTTTCTTCTATGTTTGATAGTGATCAAGATTCCTGGTATATCTGATAATAATTCATTTCTTTCTGGTTGCAGGGAAACTGAACAGAGGGCTCTCTGTTATTGATAGCTACAAGCTGCTGAAAGAGGGGGAAGAACTAACCGATGATGAAATATTTCTTACATCTGCTCTTGGCTGGTGTATTGAATGGGTATACAATTCTATAGTTAAATTGTGAACCTTACTGCTTCAATTCATTTCAAATAAATATTTTAAAAAATTTACCTTTTTGTTTTTGGGTGTCTGATGGTGGCAAAATTTGCAGCTTCAAGCATACTTCCTGGTTCTGGATGACATAATGGATGGCTCTCATACGCGGAGAGGCCAACCATGTTGGTTCAGGCAGCCTAAGGTGTGGTCCGGTACCCTAAAGACAATTTTTGCATCTAGTGTGGATTTTATTTAAGTGAATGTTTTTGATTTGATAGTTTTCATAGATCGGATTGATTGCTGCAAATGATGCGATATTTCTCCGCAACCATATTGCACGAACTCTCAAGAATCACTTTAAAGGGAAGCCTTATTATGTTGATCTGTTAGATCTGTTTACTGAGGTGATATTCTGTGTGCTTCTATGTCTAGTTACGAGGCTGGATTTAAGTGAATGTTTTTTATTTGATACCTTTCATAGATTGGATTGATTGCTGCTATGTTGATCTGTTGGATCTGTTTAATGATGTGATATTCTGTGTGCTTCTATGTCTTGTTACAAGGCTGGATTTAAGTGAATGTTTTTTATTTGATACCTTTCATAGATTGGATTGATTGCTGCAAATGATGCGATACTTCTCCGCAACCATATTGCACGAATTCTCAAGAATCACTTTAAAGGGAAGTCTTATTATGTTGATTTGTTGAATGAGGTGATATTCTGTGTGCTTCTATGTCAAGGCTGGATTTTAATCTAATGCTAACTGTTGTGACATTCTTGCGCTAACAGCCAGTGGGCAAATGATTTATCTGATTACCGCCCTTGTCGGGGAGAACTTGCGTAGCTAAGATTAAAGTGCTTTACAATGACCTCAAACTTGAGATTCAATCCCCTTGTTCGCTTATTTGACCTGGATTTTTTTCAAGTATTTTGTTATTTGTATGGTGGTTGAATGTTTGTGTGTGTGTGTGTTTCAGGATGTGTTTGCAGAATACGAGAGCAACAGCTATGAAAGGATAGTAAGGTCGATTGAAGGTCATCCAAGTGCTTGTGTTGAAATCGTTCTTGGCCAACATATACAAGAGGCAAAAGTAGTTTGGATGGATGGCACATTGTGTTTGTGTTGTTTTCTTGTGGCATAATATTTTCATGATGGTTATTTTGCATTTGTTGCTAGGTTAACTCAGTTCAGTTCCCCATTTAACTTTGATATGATGCTCCTATTTGTTGTAGTATTCTCTCTGATACAAGCATTCTAAGTTGAAATAAAACTACATTTTCTTTTCTTACCCTCTACATTTTGTCTCTCCATTGGGGAGATAAGCAGCCAGCAACCACAATAAGTTTTCAACACGAAATCTGCACGGACTTAGCTCATTAGTTTAGTAAATAGTATTTGAGAGAGAATTTGGTTTTTTTTTTTTTTTTTTTTTTTTTTTTTTGTGAGACCTGTAAGGAGAGAGAAAATGGAAAGGAGAGGATGGGATGTCGTGCGTGTTTTGCACAGACCGTGCACGCTAGCGCGTCCAGTTTTTGGTTTGTTTGTTTGTTTTTCTTTTTTGTTTTTTTGCATCAATCATGCTTTTTTTTTCCTTCTCTTTTTCCTTCTTCTCTTTCCCTCATCTCTCTCCTAATTGGTATCCCAAAAACTAATTGTTATATCGTGGATGTCCACAGTGCATTGTGGACCCTCGTCCAATACACATAATTTGACTTCCTAATGTACAGAATTCATGTTCATGAATTTATATTCATAATACACATACACATAAACATGATGTAATGAACCTGAATTCGGTATATTATGAACATGAGTTCTGTGTATTATATTATGTGTTTATGTGTCTTCATTATATCGTATTTATATGTATGTGTATTATAAACATAAATTCTGTAAATTATGAACATGAATTCTGTACATTATGAAGTCAAATACTGTGTACTGAACCAGAGTCCACGATATAAATTGACGTACCACAAAAAAAAAAAAAAAATCATTGCTATGGGAGATGCTCTTGTCAAATTTATATTTGAACTTTAAATTTGTTGATAATTTCATTTCATACAAAATTTGAAACTTTCAAAAAAAAAAAATTATTTTTGACTCAACATATATCCACCTTCATCAAGTTTTTTCTTTTCAAGAACAAAAATAAATCTCCCAAAAAGTTTTAAATGTATGAGATATTTAAATTGATTTAATCCGCCAATGACTTTGTAGTCTAGTGACACCAAGTTGCTCTCTCCTATGAAAAGTTGTGAGTTCGAACCAAGTGCAGCAGTATAAGCAGTGTTAAAATCATTCTTGGCCAAGATATACAAGAGGCAAAAGTAGTTTTCTTGGCCAAGATATACAAAAGAGGCAAAAGTAATTTGGATGGATGGCACATTGTGTTTGTGTTTTCTTGTGGCATAAATATATTTTCATGAATGATGGATCTTGTGCTTTTCTTGCTAGGCTATTTTGGTATCTTAGGACATTTTCATATGTAGGCAAATTTAATTTTTTGTGGGACTTGTCAAAAGAAAGAAAAGAAAATGAGAGGATTGGATGGCGTGCGTGGCTTGCACAAACCGCGCACGCTAGCGCTCCGATTCTTTGTTCGTTTTGTTTTGTTTTTGTTTTTGTTTTTGTTTTTGTTTTTGTTTTTGTTTTTTTTTGTGTTTTTTACGTCATACTTGTTTTGCAACTTCCTTAGATGATTTGCAGTTCTCTTTGGTTAAACATTCAGCGAACCAGGTAGCCCATCTGCTAACTAGGCAATATGGTTCTTTGACGGAGCATATTGCTTGGTTTGATGTTCCTCCTCGTTTCTTGTAAACATTTTGTTTGTTGATAATGAAATCTAGTTCTGTTTTTGTTTCAAAAAAAAAAATACTTTATAAATAAATAATATTTTGCTTTACTACAAATTGAATTGTTCATAATAAAAAGAATTAATTTTACATTTGTTCCCACAACTTTTGAGGTCTTATCATTTTTGGTGCACAATTTTAAATTTTGGTGCCTAACTTTGTTATTTTTATCAATTTTGGTCATTATAACCAAATTGACAGTGGAATGTCGCAAAATTTTATATTTTAACGGTAAAATCGTCATCTCAAAGAAAGATCTTCAATATCTAAACAAAAGAAAAATCATATTAAGAGAAAAAGAAGGATTTGTCCGTCGATGCAATCAACACCTATAAATATTTAGATATTAAAGATGTTTCCTTGGAATGACGATTTTACTCTTAAAAATATAAAATTCGGCAATATTTCACAGTCAATTTGGCCGAAAGGACCAAAACTAATAAAAATAACAAAAGTATGCACCAAAAATGATAGAAACTCAAAAGTCGTTGGATCAAAAGTGAAATTAATTCTAATTAAAATGATATCAAAATTTTTAGAAGTACAAAGACCATGACCACTACTCAGCCTTATTAACTCAAAATTAGGCAATGGAAAAAAGGAGAGTAGATGAAGTTGGGACTTGAAAGAAAGGTTATAATCAAATCAAACTTGGAAGTTGCATGAATGTAACATTATCTGATATTTACAATACAAGAACACACATAATGCATCAACCAAAACCAAAAATGACAACACATTTCTCAAGTTGTTGGTCTAGTCCAGGTTGTTTCCGATGTTGCAGCATTTCCATAATACACCTGTTTCGACGACTCATCCCAGTATGCCTGGAATTAAAACACAAGGATTGAAGACCATACACAAACTCGCACTATAAATAAATAAAACCAATCATCCAGGAGATGCATACGCATACGTCAGTCAGTGATATGTGCTAACTTACCTGCCATCCAGATGGAAGACCTATTGATAACGCATTAAGATCAGGCTGTTGATTTTCTTCAGTACCATCAGTGGGCTTCTTTTCAGTCTCTTTCATCTTTTCAGCTCTTCTTCGTTTTACACGCTCTCGCCTGTCAAGTCAGATAAATGTACAAGGAAACTTTAATTTACTATGTCTAATACCTTAAAAAACAGCATACCTAAGGGCTAGGATAGCGGGGGATCACATCACTTAAATTTTCATGGGTATGGTTAGGTCACAAAGTAAACATGACATACCAATCACCACCCAGTGGCTGAAAGTTAGCATTATCTTTAGCCTCTCCACTGGCTATCTGCTGTGCACGCCATTCCTGTAACAGAAAAGGAAAAAAGTTACAGATCCAGAAAAACACACTTAATCTGCAACACAGCATTTGAGTCTTGAAATACCTCAATTTCTCGTTGACGTTTCTTCTCTAATATTTCATATGCACTTGCACGTTCCTCTTCTTCTTCTGCATGCAGCTCTTCTTTTGCAGCCTTCCACTAAAAAAAAAGCACAAGAAATACAACTAATTGTCTGAAGAGACAAAATACATTTATATTATTATTATGAACAAGCTCCCCAAATATAAGAAAAATATTGAAAGGATATGTGATATAACCTTGTCAACCAAATTGGAGACTTTTTTATTTGACCTTAATGTCGAGCCTACAGCAACAGTGCCCTTCTTTTTACGAGCAACTGGAAAAGAAATAGGAGGGAAATCATGTCAGAACATCTTTTGAATAAGCTCCAATTACACACAGCACTAGGGAGGCTTCATATTAATGAATGGTAAGCAAAATTTTTTAAAAAAGATATTAGATATTGAAGTGTGCTCTCATTTTATTTATTTATTTATTTTTTTTTTGAAAACTGAAGTGTGCTATTTAAAATAACTACATTTGAAAAAGTGCATCCACCAGTTACTATGAATATTACAACTTACCTTTAGATGGAACATTAGAAGCTGTTGCTGTAGAAGTAGCAGAAGAAGTGGATGCGACCAAAGTGTTCTCTGGAGGCAAGATAGTGTCTGTGCCTTGCAAGGATGTTTGAGAAGGAAAACCTAAAGATACCCCTGAACTCCCAACATCAACACCACCATTGGGTGTGTTTTGAATTGGCAAAACAGAGCTCACTTCAGTAAGTGTGCCAAATGATCCAATTTGACCAGAAATAGCTTTTCCATTAATAGATCCACTAGGAAGCACAGATGAATCTGCAGCCACTAAAGGAACATGGTGTGCTGCTCCGCCTTGAAAACCATAATAGGCACCAGGATTAACAGCATTAACTGCCATTGGATCAGAACTGTACAGATTCGGTACTGCTTCATAATACAGCTGTTGATGTGAAACAGTTATCTGACCCTCAGCATGTGAGTACAAGTTACTATTGGGAGGAACATTGTTAATTTGGCCATAGTATTCATAACCAGAAACTGGATATGATAAAGTGTAAGGAAAAGGTTGTACTGATGGCAAATCAGAAGGCTGAGAATATGTTGTTTCGGGTGGCTCATCAGGTGGTGGCGGAGGAAAAGGCTCATCATCAGGAGGTGGTGGAGGGACCCAATCTTCATCAGGGGGAGGTGGTGGAACATTAGATGTGTTCTCTGGCAATGAAGATCCCTCATTTGCTGATAGGGCTGGCACCATATCCTTCTCTGGCACAAGATGATATTGGCCAACTGATGCATCCCCAACTTTTGAACCACATGGAGGTCCTACATCTTCAACTTCCATATCCACATCCATGTCAACTTCTTCTGCAGGAAGAAGCACTGTTTTAGGAGCAAACTCTTCATGCTCTGCAAGTTCAACTACTTCACCTTCTTCAATTGTATTGCTCCCAGAATTTGTAGAAGCACCATCATGGTAAGGTTCAACATGGGCATCTTTCCTGGTCCCTGGACTTCCAGTGTACTCAGCAGCACAATGGTGGATGGCAATCTTTTCATTTGCATCCACTTTGGTGTCATCAGTAATCTCATGTTGTGAAGTATGTAAAGCCTCAACGTCATGGCCACGTAAGGAATTAGACTGCTCACAAACTTCATTTATGGCTGCTTCTAGTAGTTTAAGTTGTTTTTCAGAGTGCACCCAGAATGGAAGCAAGGACAATCCATTACATGCTAAAGATCTAATATCAGCGAGTCTGATATCAACTTCTAGCACATACTTTGATATTTGATCATGTTTTTGCAAACTTTTTTCAGACCTGAAACATTTTGATGAGGGCAAAAATTACTACACAACTAAATGAACAAGATCTACATGGAAAGCTTTCATAGTTTCATGGGCATTTGAAGAAAATATGAAGATGCAAAAAAAAATAAAAATAAAATAAATAAATAAATAAAACAAACAAACAAACAAAAACAAAAATGTAGATAAAGCCTAATATCATACCCTTGCATGACCTTCAATTTCTCTAATAGAGATTCGCAATATACCACAAGGTGAGACGAAAAGTCAGCCTCAATATCAAATTCTCCAGCAGTCACCACATCTCTGTGCTTCTCAACATCTTCACATGATTCACTTAAATGAGCCAAAAGAATGTCCCCTGATAGCTTGGAAGAACAACCCACAGGAGAAGAAATATCATGACGGGAATCAAGTTGCCCAGACATTTTCTTCGTGTCACTCAGCTTGGCATCATCATCCACTCCTTTCTCTGGCTGAGCATTGCATTTAAATCCATCATTGAACATTTCCATCTTGCATTCATTATTATCATTAGAGTCATCACCTGTCTCTCCAGGGTTAGAATCTCCCGGTTTTACATTCAAATTTGTATGAGATTCATATGTTCTCTGCATGGAACCCTCCACATCAACACCATCAGTAGCTTTCTCTTCATTCCCCAATTCAGATGTTGGAATCAAAGCGCTGGGCACTTCCCATGATGTTTCTCCTGTTGAAACATTCCAATAATAGTATTGATTGCTCTCTTCATGAAAAACAACCTTCCAGCCCGAAATTACATCACCACCAACTTGCGCATCAAATGCTCCAAGAGTAGTATTTTGACTCATCACATCCTTTTCTTTTAACTTTTCAACTGAGTATATAGCATCATTTCCTTTATGCTCATCCTCTTCCGGTCTCTGCATAAAGTTCTCTGAAGCAGAGCCATTTTCTTTTGCTTCATCTTCAACCTTGGCAGTATCAGAGCCAATCACACCCTTAGCATCATTCTTGTCTTCTGTAGAAGCTACTTTTCCCTAAGCAACGATGATGGAAAATTAAATTCTTAACTGAACTCTACAATATTCCATAGATTCATTGACAATCAGAAAGCATCCTATAAAAGCACATCACACTTAACTGCAATTATTATGTACACCGAAGAAGAAAATGCTGGAAGTTAATACATACCTTGGAAACCTTTATTATAGATTTGGTAATATCAGACAGACAAGTAGCTTTCCATTCTTAAGTTCAAGTAGAGCAAGACATTCTAAAGCATGCATAATTGCATTTATATAAGAGTAAAAAGCTAAGCCTTGTAAGGATGTTTAGTACTGGGAAAATAGCAAGCCCATTAATTCCCAATGAGATTCAGGGTACTTCCCTTTTCCATATCTTCCTCCCTATCTTTATCTCTCCTTTTTGATAAAGGACAGTATAGGCAATCCACCTGCCCAGATAGGTCGATACCACCCTACTTGGAATAGTATTATAGTAGGATCGGAAACAAAAATCTCAAGTGAGTAATGAAATGAAGTCCCAATCCATTCACCCACTAAAAAGTACTCCCATCAATGCCTTATGCCCCTCATATGAAATAGAATATGAAAGGACTAGCACCTATGACAACCTCACAATCAGTCTGTCTCTGCTCCGTTCAGTGAACAACTACTACAGCATAGACTACTTGTCTATTTTACCTGGTCATCATGGGCAACTGAGGAGTCCTCTGAGCCAGCACGTATAGGTCCTTCACTTGAACCCTCATCCAACTCATCATCACTATACTGCCCAAGCAACATTAGAGGATTCTCTTGTTGAAGACCTATATGCAAAATAAGAACATGTCAAATAACTAGTCAAGGCAACTAACAACAACAACCAAAATGTACATACGCAAAAGTTTTGGGAACAATAACCAAAAATGGAATAAAAAATTATCAAATTTTTTGATAATATGTATATTTATATGTAGTGTATATCTCCTTAGCACAACCACCTGTAAGAAGTCTGAGACTGTCAGTAAGTCATTAAACAAATAAGGCCAGAAACATACGAACCGAGAGGAGAAAATACTCTTCATTTTATCTCCACAAGCCTTTGATGCCGCCATAGAAGGACATGAAAGGTAAGAAGTTATTCAATATTCACTGTGGCAGGGCCTTGATGTATACTGATGGCCAATTGAAAGTTCCCAATACCACAGCCTGGTTACAGACTGAAAACATAATCTTTTGTGGAACAAACAACATGTCTTGTACAAAGAAAATCAATAATTTCCACCAATATTATGCGGTCACATCATGTCTTCTCTACAAAGATGTCCTTTTGAAGAAAACTCACAGAACCCACCTGAAGATGATGGTGAATTGGGTAGCTCAGCTTGATTTTTGGAAGCTTCATCCCCTCCAACTCCATCTTGAGAAGAGCCACCCAAATCTCCTACAAAATAATATCCAATTGCACATCACCACCCATTGATCATATTAATGTGTGAATAACAATTCTGGATTAGCAGCAAATATTGAAAACCTTCATCATTTTTTTTTAATTAAAGCAACAGATGGGAATCTACATCTACACCATAAAAAATAAGCAAAAATCATGCGGATCAGAACAGTAATGAATCTTCACCTTTAGCAACAAAAATAACTTCTTCTGAGTTTTATCTCGGGAGAACCAGCATTGAAATGCGTAGATATATCTTATAATGCTAGAACAACCTAATTTGGTAAAAATAACAATGATTTTTTTTTTTTAAACATGATTCAATATTAAACAAAATCTCATCATATTTGTTTCATGAAGTTGACAATTTTTATCCAACATCAAAACAGGGCTTTTGGTTGAATAACATCGGATAATGAACCAACTAAAAAAACTAACACGCAGAAGCTCCACTTTATCAAAATTATCATTACAGTCATATATGCTAATCCTTATGAAATTAGCGTACCAGAGGGTTCCGCGAAGAGGTCAAGCTTTACTCTGCGACTGGAGGCGCTCATGGCGGCGAGCCGGCGCTCTTTTCTCTTTCCCATATTCTAAAACGACGATTTGACGGAGTTTTGATCGGTGATTAAATCAGCTAAAATTCTTCAGCTATATATGTTTCCAATCGTACTAGGGCTAAATTCTGCAGGTATATGTTTGCTATGCAAGATACGGCGTCGTATCAGCTTCATTCAATTTGGGCCACTCCATACACTGCAACTTCTGTTGGGCTTCATGCAAAAGACTCCCACAATAATGTCTATAAGTCTATTTATAAGTGGGCTTACATTAAACATTGAAGCCCAAAACTCCTGTACCCCCCAAAGATAAAACAAGAATGTAGGTTGGGCAAGTAGGCAATTTATGAGGTGACCTCCTATCAATATACAACAGTTATACCATAGACCCAGGTTGGTCTAAAATACATAATTTATATATTGAATTGTGAACATTTAGTATGTACAATTATGAACATTCAGTATGTAAATTGTGTATTTTTAGACTCTAGTCCACATAATAATTTACCAGTATTGATGGGACTACCTTCTTTAAGTTTGGATTTAACCCCAAAAAAAAATTATTGTGTTGATAATATGTTATATTTTTTGACAATAAGTTAACTGAAGACGGGGAGTATACTTCCCGGTCTCGTCCCGTTACCATTCCTAATTCGCAACGACCTTACACTAGTCACACATTCCACAAGAAACCGAGCAATGTTGGGGGTGCGCCAACTAGGGCTGGGCACTTCGGTCTTCGGTTCGGTTTTCGGTTTTAGAAAAGTTAAGCCATTCGGCTTAACATTATAGTTCGTTTCGGTTCGGTTTCAATCGGTTTGGTCTTCGGTTCGGATTCTAAGACTTTACGATCCCCAAATTTCAACATTTTCTAATTTTCCAAACATACTACCAAACAATACCAATTCACATAATCCACATCTAAAATCTAAACTTTATATAACAATTAAATAGCAATTTAAAGTTTAAACATACTACTAAATACTAACATCACATACTAATAGCAATCTAATTACCAAAACATCACATACTTAGAATCCAAAGTTCAAAGTTCAAACATTACAAACATGAAGGATCACATAATTCAAACTCCAAATCCAATGTTTAAAGATTACAAACATAAAACATCAAATAACCCAAATCCAAAGTCTAATATCTAAATATTAGATACCAACATAACAATTCAAACACAATCAACATAGCAATCCAAATTCCAAACTCATATGTTGTTAAGTTGTTCATCCATCATCACGGATCAATATGAAGTTGCCCTGCTGATTTGCGAATCTCTGTACAACAAAACAAAAGGTTCAAAAATAAGTTAAAGTAATAAAATATTGAAGCATAAACTAATATAGTATATATTATACATAAATTCATAATAAAATATAGAATTGTCACTTACCTTCTGCAAGCATATCCATAAACTGAGTTTCTTCTAATATCTGAGCCAGGCTTACTGTTGCATCAGATTGGAGTGAAGACCGCAACCAATCTTGTGTCAAAATCAATGCCTCTACCATATACGGTGTCAAAGAACTCTGATATTGGTCTAAAAATACGGCCTGAAGTGCTAAAAGCAGACTCTGATGCAACACTAGAAACTGGAATTGCAAGAACATCACGTGCCATTTGTGACAAGATTGGGAATTTCATACTTTCTTTCCTCCACCATGACAAAATATCAAATTGCATACCCAATCTATTAGGAGTTGGCCTTTCAATCTTTTCCATCTAGTATATATCCAACTCATTTGATATTTGTTGCACATCTCCTTTTTCACAAATCATATCGGTGGCATACGTGTTAAAAATACTCTCAACAGGTGCGACATCACCAACATTTAAAACCAATTCACTAGTTACACAAGATTGAATTACACTCTCACATCCACCACCACTTTGACTTGTAGTTGCATTTGGTTTAGCATAGAATGCACTGTATACCTCATACAACTTATGCGTGACATCCATTACTGCTTTTTCCATTTCACTACATTTTGGTGTATCTTTGCCGTACAATTTTTTCAAAACAAATTGTTAACCATAAAGGCTAGACCTTTGCTCACTGCGCACAAGGAACCCCCATCACTTCGAGAGGTAGCTCACACACTGCCGCTGGTGAGATTCAATCCCTGGTCATTCTTCCAAACTTTCACCTCTATGACCAACTGCCCATGCGAGTTAACCTCTCCCATCATCTTTGGCCCTTTCCGAGTCCAATATGAACCTCTCATATGTTTCTTGGCTTCTTCGCCTAGGTCCTTACTCCTAGGCACTATCAATTATTGAAAATAGGATCAAATAAGTCTCAAACTTTATACGAAAAAGTAATTAAGATTATGAATTTTAAAAAGTTGAAATTAAACACATCAACTACTGATTCAATTGAGTTGATAGCTTGTTAAATTGATGCAATTATGCCCATTGGCTAGTAAACTCCATGTAATAGTTAATAATATACGATGATGTGGATTTTTTTTTTCAAAAAAATAATTAAAAAGAAAAAAAATAAGATAGTCCAGTGGATGGAGTAGTCAGCCATTCAACTGGATGAAGAAGTCATGGACAACTTCTCTTTCTGTGATTTTTTTATAAATTTAAATTAATTTATTTGAATAAATAGTGTCACGTCAATTTTTTTTACCAGTTACTTAACCGGCTAATTGGTTTAATTGAATTAAATTGAGAAGTTAATGTATTTAATTGTAACTTTTGAAAATTTAGGCACTTAATTAGTATTTCGTTTAAAGTTCAAAGGAATATTTGATAATTTTTCATCAATAAATAAAGAAAAAATGGTATCATCTTTCTCTATTTATGGTATGTATAGTCTCTTGTTAATTGGACTAGGCATTTTATGCGTGTAGATTTGAGCTCAATATTAAAATCCGTTAACATTATTAATAAAAATAAAAATATTTATTAATAAAAATACTTTTAAAATATTTTTTTTAACACTTCAAAACTATATATGTGAAAATTAATAATTTAAAAAGATACAATTTAATAAATATCATAAATTAATTATTATTATACCGGAGTATTATTTTTTGTTTATAATAAAAATGAAAAGGTATTCAAATATGTAAGTCAATAAATTTAGGATAAAATTAATATAATGGCTAATAAATATGTCGTGATTAATTACATTGTCATAATATTTGCTTTATTTAATTTTAATTTCATTAATAAAATATTCCTTAACTACTCTCGCTGAATTGTAGGCACCTCTTTTGGATGGGATAACTGACCAGGTTGCTCTATACCCAAAGTCAACGATTGAACTCTTAACCTTTAGTTAAGAATGGATGAGTCATTTCCACTCAACCACACCCCCAGATTATTCCTTAACTAGTTTTAATAGAAAATATAATTAATAAAGTTATAAAAGAATGGTGACAATTTTATCAAGTTAAAATACAATGTACAACCCGATTGGCTCGCGAAGAACCGTGACTTGGATCCTGACTTGGTGTTGCACCCGTGTTGCCCTCATATGAATTTGGATTTGCTTATCCACAATGATATTTTTGGGTGCCTAGTGCCCGCGGTGACGGTGACTATTTTTTGTTTTTGTATCTCCGGGGCTTCGCCTTTCCTTTTGTTCCCAAAAAAAAAAAAAAAAAAAAAAAAAAAAGAATGTACAACATTTTAAACTTGATGTACACATATATTCGCACAAAATTTATGAAAAAAAATCAGGGATATAAATGGATTCATACACATAATGTTTTTAGATAAAATCAATTCAATTATTGAAGCAAACTATAGTGTAAAACTCTTACACCTACATTAACCACTAATATGACGTTTGGTTGGAAAGAATGAATTAGATAAGAAAGAAATTGTAATTTCGTGGGAATAAAGTAGAAATTCAAATTATATTATTTGGTAGATAGGAATAGAAGTATTAGAAATGGGTAGAGAACGGTAATAAGTTTCGGTAAAGTATTTAACATGTTTGATAGTAGGGTGGAATGGGGAATGATTACTAATAGTAGTGCTTGAGAATGAAACCCTTATTTTATTTGGGTATGAGTTTTTCAATTGATGGAGTATTCGAAACCCATAGTAGTGTTCTAAAAACCTATCAACTAAACAATAACAATCACTTTCATACCCATTCCTATGGGCAAAACCCATCAACCAAACACACCCTAAGAATTAATTCCCAAAATAGTCATATGACTATAGCCTTTTCTTAAATTGGTTCATTGACTTTTAATTGCAACCAAAGTGGTCCCCCAACTATTGAATTTTAAGCCAAAATGGTCTCGGGTAGCTTTGGCGTGAAGTATGTGTTAAAATGAATGGTAAAACAGGTAATACAAGTTTTGCTCTCCAATTTAATGAATATGCAACTCCCTTTCCTGCTGCGCATGTTTTTATTCAAATTATGTTTTTTGCTCTCCTCATTCTGCGATCAAAATTAATAATAACATTGCAAACCGTAAAATTAATAATAATAATAATAATAATAATAATAATAATATAACAATTTTGACTAACATTGCTTCCTCCATAAGCTCAGAATCTCCGACCGGGATTTTCATTTTAACACCTACTTCACGGTAAAACTAACGGATGACCATTTTGGCTTAAAATTCAATAGTCGGAAGACCACTTTGGGTGCAATTAAAAGCCAAGGAACCAATTTAAGAAAAGGTCATAGCCCGATGATCATTTTGGGAATTAAATAATAATAATAATAATAATAATAATAATAATAATAATAATAATAATAACAATAATAATAATAATAATAATAATAATAATAATAATAATAATAATAATAATAATAATAATAATAATAATAATAATAATAGACCACTCAAGTGCACATCAAACTGCAATTAAGCCATCGAACTAAAAATAAATAAAATTAAGTCCTTAAATAACACAAATTCATGTAATTAGACCTAAAATAACCCGTTTACCTGAAACTCTGAAAGTATGCTGACGTGGTGACGGTTACCGATTTTAAAAATAATTTTTAAAATAAAATAGTTAATTAAAATAATTTAAAAGAAAATTAAAAAAAAAATAGAAGGCCAGTCGGCTTCGTCTCAATGGCCAAGGAGAAATAACGACACCACCATTACTCAAGTTTTTAAATTCTGAATGTATTAAATTGGTAAACCAGGCCCCTAATTTTGGCAAATATCTGGGATTGCCACCGTTTGTGGGGAGAAATAAGAAGGCGGCCTTTGCATATATTGAAGACAAAATCCAATAGAGGATTGGGTCGTGAAGTAAGAAATTTCTCTCATATGCAGGAAATGAAGTCTTATTGAAAAGTGTGGCTCAAGTTATGCCTACCTTTTCAATGAGTGTCTTTTTGTTGCCTATATCTGTGTGTACAGCTATTGAACAGACAATGAATCGCTATTGGTGGGGCTCATGGACTGACCGTGGTATTCACTGGAAGGCATGGGATAAGTTGTGTATCCCTAAGCAGTATGGAGGCCTGGGTTTCAAGGATCTGAAAGCATTTAATTTGGCAATGTTGGGTAAACAGGCATGGAGGTTGTTGACCAAAGCTGAGTCACTTGTCTCTCGAGTATACAAAGCCAGATACTATCCTAAAAGTTCATTTTATGAAGCAGGTATTGGAAATAATCCCGGTTATTGCTGGCGAAGTATTATAGCTGCCAAAACATTAATAACAAGCGGAGTAAGACGTCGTATTGGGGATGGAAAGTCTACCTTAATATGGGAACATCTCTGGCTTCAGGATGAGTTGGAACCAATGGTCCAAACGGAGATGCTACCTCAGCTAGCTGGTGCAAAAGTTGTGGGATTGATTGATCAAAACACTGGTACATGGGATCCCCACATTTAACAGATATTTTCCACCCAAATGATACCAAGAATTTTAAAGATTCTAGTCTCACCAGGATATGAGGATATATGGTATTGGTATGGGGACACAAATGAATGCTATTCAGTAAAGAATGGGTACAGGCTAATGGTGGGAACTTATGAGAATAATACTGGTTTTGATAAGTGGCGAACCCTATGGAATTTGAAAATCCCCTAAATGGAAGACCTTTCTATGGAGAGCTATAGGTGATATTCTCCCTACTACCACCAATTTGCTTATAAAGATGGTGGATATTAGCCCAACTTGTGCCATGTGTGGCGTTATGGATGAAAACACAATGCATGCCTTAGTATTGTGTGACTATGCTAGGTCTATTTGGGATCAATCTAACCTTCCATTCCCCCATTTTGTAACGAATATTTTCCAAGAATGGTTTAGGGTGGGATATTGTTTGCAGCTGGAATATTATACAATATTTGGAGAGCCCGGAACGATGCCGTTTGGAATGCATGTCTGCCAAGACCGAAGAAGATTATCGCGACTGTCGTGGCGTCCGTACATGCATGGCAGCAGGTACACTCGGCTGCCCCCTCACACCCGGCCGGTCTCGCCTCTGCCGACCTGCTGCCGCTGCCGGCAGAGCAGCACGCTGCCCCAACTGCCGAGATACAACCAGCGCAGCCAACGTCTCCCATTGCCACGGCTGG